GGATGGCGCAATTGTTTATTTTTTCGCAGTCCGTTGTGACTGCAATTTTTCAGACGAACTGAAGTAATGTAGGCATCTGCAAATGGAAAATATGATTTCTTAATAAACAATTTTATAAGAGAAATAATAAAATTTGTTAAAATACATACCGGTCGCAAAAGTATTTCTTATGTCCGTATTTATTCAGTTGTGAGCTCACAAGACAGGACAGATCTTTGATGTACGCAAAGTGCCCCGTTGTCGTCGCACGGATCCTGCACATACAATAGATTTGCGTGCTTCTCCATCTTCCTTGATGTCAGCCGTATCGGGAGAATCTCCTTTTCCTTGATACCGTAGACGTTGATTGAGATGTCGTTGAGATGTTCGAACTTCTTAATTTGGTTCAACGTCATTGGAAACGTAATGTCTTGCAAATTTAACATCGTATAATGCGGGTACGACAATTCCCGATTTGTATTCCTTTCAGCCGGATGCAGAGCCGCGACCACCGATCACACGAAACACGCATTGTCATTGGATCGTACATTGATCACCGCTCGCTTTAACATAATTTCCCGCGGTAATTCGATGTAACATCCCGCGTGCACTGGATTATATTTGTTCACGTTTACAGTCAAATTTAGAATTCGCGACAACGCCCATCCACTGTCGCGTTCTTGGAATTCTTCGAGCGACGCCAACGTGGGTTCGATAACGTACTGCTCGTACCACTCGTCCAAATTTGACATTCGAAAGAGTTCAATATTTTTAGTGTTTATACTTTTGTTCGCGCGTTTATCGTCACAAACTCACCGTTAAATACAGTGTTCACTTTCACACTATCGTGTCTTTGTACAATATCTCGCACTCGCTCGAGCACTACACCACCAGCGTCTTCTAAAAATTGTCGCGATATAGTCCACATTGATCACCGTACCAGTCAATATACGGTTTTCAAATGCCGTATCGATCTCTCGCCAAACGAGAGATCCAGTGTCTCTACTCGCGTATTCACCACCAACGTGCACGAAACGTCTTTCTAGTTGTACTTTGCGAGTCGCGCAATCCTCGTCACCGCAGATTGTCTATTTGCAACGATGAGTCGAGGACGCTTAACACGGCTAAGTTCCTCGAGTTGTTCGATGCACTCCTCACATCGTTGCAATCACGCGAAACACTCCACCAAGGTAGCGACTTGGTTGCACTGCTCCAGCAGCTCGCGTTCCACTCGCTCTATGTATTCCATATTGCAAAATCTTGATTCTTTTAAATTGTTGTATTGTCTCATCAAAACAATTTTACATTTTTTTATTTTCTTTTTTTCTTTTCTCTATAGCTGCTTTAACTCGAAGCCAGTATATAAAGCATTGTATTTCCGAAATGTCCGGAGATTGATGGGAATAGAACAACCATATATGATTATCCTCGCTTCTTGGAATTATTTCTGCTACTTTTTGCCGCGAGAGAGGTAATAATATATTGTATGCGTGTCCTCTATAATGATAATATGCGCACGCTTCCAGAATTATTTCCGCTCTCTCAAAAGGAGCGGAGAAGCAGAGAGTCGAATTGTAGGGTCCCTTAACTCTTGGACGAGAAATCGGGAAATAGGGAGTTGGGGTATAGTGTCTCTTTATAAAATACACCGCCACGTTCACGGATAGATGAGAGATTGAATCCCATAACGGAGAACTTGTTAATTCTTCCAATGATCTTTCCATATTGTTTTTATATCACATCACACTCTTCCACGGAGCACTTGCATATGCCTCGTTCACAATGTTGTCTTTTTTCAATTTGTGCAAATTGGGCACATGTTGCATGGCATTATCATACAGACGGACTGTTGGCAATTGGAGCAAAATTGGCTGTTTAGCGCATTGAGAGTATCTATCTCGTGCTTCCTAACGGCATACAATACTCCAATGTCAGTGTCCGCCAGACGAACCATGCATTCGGCACACAGAGTTAGTGCATCACCCGTTGAATAATAAAATTGTATTGAACAATACTTTTTGTTATTATTCAACGCAAGGAGTTCCGAACGGGTAACAATTTTTTTTGCATAATCCGTAAGGTCATCACTTTGATCACTTATGTAATTGCTATCGTCAGACAATGCGTGCTCTTCGTCTTCAATATCAATGTCAATATTGTCAATCTCTATTTCTTCTTCATTTTCAAACACTTCGTCCACTATATTCACAAAGTCTTCCTCATCCATATTAAACACATTTTCTATATTTAACACATTATCCATTTTCACCGTCAACTATTTTTTTCACACACATTAGACTTCCATCTACTGTGATCCTGCACACCTCATGACCCATTATATATCATTGACAATTTCTTTGTCCCTTTGTCGGAGCATCATCATAGGTCTCCCCAATTTGTTTATAGTAACCGGAGTATCGGCGCTTCTCTTGACACGCCGCGACACGTACGTCGCTTTCTACGAAGAGCTATCTTTTCACGGTCTCTTCCTAGAAAACAAAATTTGAACGTCGCGCTCCTTTGTGAACATGTTTGATGCGCGTCGCTACATGTTTGATTGCAACAATGCAATTCCTAGAAAAAAAAGAGGGGGGAGGAGTTAACGGTTTGCCATGTCAAAAAATTTACGCGATCAGTCCTCCTCCATCGAACGATCTGCACGACAAAAAAGGTACTCCGCTCCTCCATCATTCGAACAACACGCAATATATTCCGCCAAAGGAAGCAGCGCACCATACAATGGCGAAAAACAAAAGAAGGAATATAACGCGTAAGTTTCAACTGCATTTTTTTTATTTTTTTCTCTTTTTTTCCAATATTGTGCAGTATTATATATTTAATTTCCACAGTATTTCGGTGGAGCATCGCGCGGTGCGCTTACTGAGCAGACGTTACACTCTGACGGCCACGGGTTATAAATTTCTGGAAATTGGAATCAACGTTGGTCCACCGAGCTACGTGGAAATCGCTCTGGGAGATCATCGGGGACAGGAATTGATACTGTCTCTCGAAACATGGAAGGGACTCTACGAGCAGCGATGGAATATCTATAAATTGCTGCGAAACGATTACAAAGACAATTTTATAAGCGTCGGACCGTTAACCGTCAGAATTTGTCTGATGAACGACGTTACACTCGTACGTCTTGAATCTTTGAACGTACGCGTAACGATGATCGAATCGACCCTGCGCCGTATGTTTGATCTGGACAAATGTATCGATATAACATTCGATGTAACATTCGATCGACTCGTCAGATTCGTCGATACGATCGATACCAAGTATACGCGATTCTCCAACATCGCGTTTGTTGTAACAGATCCCGAGGAAGTGCCGAACGTGATACGCGATTGCGATACATTCGATAGACGTCAACTCGTCGATTGCGAGCTGTTAGCTTTAGTTTTTAGTGTATAAGAAAAAAACATGTGAATAAAAAAATTTCACACTTAAAAATGTATTCAATTTATTTAAAAATATAAACATATATAATATGCAAAAAAACATATATTTCTTTCATTTCTTTCTTACCCATCATAAAATAATTAGAAAAAAATAACATTCGCCATAAGAGAGAGAGCCGCAACGGAAGAGATAATACGAGAGAGATATTTATTTTTTTATTCGGCGGTGGCGGTGGCGGCGGCGGCGGTGGCGGTGGTGGCGGCGGCGGCGGGCGGCGGTGGGCGGCCCCCGCGTCCCCCCCCCCTCTCGACGTC